TTAAATTTAAATCAAAACTCAAATACAATATTAAAGAAATCCAAAATCTCTACGTACTAAAAACTTGTTTGGCTTGATTTTTTTTTAACTTAAAAGCTATTATGAAGCTTTTATAAAAAATAATAATTTTTAAAATTAAGTTAAATCTGTTTGATAAATTTACTTTTATAAATTTTTTTTAAATAAGTTATTTGATAAAATAATTTATATAAGTTCTAATTTTGATTAAAATTACCATAAATAATATTTAATAAATAATTTTCTATTAATCACAAATTCTTTTATTCATAATGAAAAAAAGTTAATTTTAGTTTTTTATTTATACAAAGTATAAAAATTATTTTTATACAACATAAATTTATAATTAATAATAAATTATATAAAAATAAAAAAAATAATATTAAAATTATTTTTAATAGATGAAGATATTTTTGAAATAAAAAGAAAAATTATCCTAAAAAAGAAACGTGTTTAAAAAAAAAAAAAGGTGAGAAAGCTTCTTCCTTGAGCTTTTTCTAAAGTTTTTTTTTAATTTTATTCTTTTAAAAAAAACTACTTTTGAATCTAATTTGTTGAAATCTTTTTTTTCAACAGTTTAAAATGAAGGCCTCTTGTTTCTGTGCAACAATTTACTCCAGCATCAACAGAAAGTCTGGGGGATGTTCGACACCAACTTTGGCCAGTTGGTCTGCCATTTCATTTGCTTCACGGGAGTATTCTGGATTTGGCATATGCTAATTTGTAACTTATACAATTCAATGTGCTTCTTAATCTTCATGGAGCAGTGTTGGGGTTAATTAAGCACCCAACTTACCACATTTGTAGATTCACTTTCCATTAACAGTTGGTGAAATTAAGTTTGCCCATTCTAAGACAGTTAAACACTTGTTTAATAACTCAAAGTTGAGCTAAGTTTGAATCCATTACTTGTATCATTCTAGAAAACATAAGTTTAACCATACCAACCTCGTCGTGAATCATATCACCAATGCCACTTTCCCCAGTTTTTCCCTTGATGTCTCATCAACATTGAAATTTAGTGTTCCAGGACTAGGTGGGCGCACCCAATTAGTAGATTTCCTTGGTCGTTTTACCCTCCGAGGAGCCAGTACCCAATTAGGTTAGCGTGGGATATCCCTGATTGTGCTTTTGTTATTCGATCGTATTGCCTTATGTCACCAAGCCATCCTTAATTTTACAATATCACACACTTGCTCAATATCCCAAACTTATCTCTTTGAATGCTATTTTATTGCGTTATCATATGGCATCTGAATATTTGATTAATGAATTATAATTACAAAAAATATTATTTTTATTACTTTAAATATTTCTGCCTTAATATTTATCGCATTTCAAATTGTGCCAAAGGATGCATCTCAAACTCAGTAATATTTGCTCATTAATATTATATGGTTTAATGATTATTGAGTAATTATGACAAATCTTTTACCTGCAAAGCAAGCTAATAATTATAAGAAAACTGTTAAAAAAGTAGTATAAGAGAAGGGATGGAAAGGCTTGAGGCATGCTTTTTTTCTAAAGTTAAATATGGAATATGTTCATATCAAAAGGGTGATCCCATATACACAAAAGAGGAGGGAATCTGACAGGAGAATCTACCCGGGATCCTACCTTGGGGCTGGCTTACAAAAAATTAGCCAGCAACAACCTATAACCTGTACAATAATTCTAACGAACAAAAAGAGACCCACAATTACAAACAGGATTTTTTAGAATGCAATAAGCTTATTGTAGAATTTTATTAAAAATTGAAGTCTATTTTGAAAGTATGTTCTTTTCCTACTAAACTAGTATTTTAACAGTTATGTCTATTGAAAACATTGAACAATTAACCAGTTGTGTTTTTTGAAAACACCTCTATTTATTTAAAAATTATATCTTAAATTGACCAGTTAAATCTGAATAATTAATTAACTTCTAATAAACCTAAATATTAACTAGTATTCTTGGTTAATATGAGAAAACATCTTAACTCTTATTCGATGACTTAACAAATATGGTTTATTCCAAACCCTAAATATATTTACTATAATTTTTTTTGTCAATATATTTATATATACATGCTCCAATAGGAATTACTGGAAACTCACACGTAAATGAAATGTTTGTAACCAATATTAGAAGGCTTCAACTATTCATCAAAAAAAAAAGAGAGGATGAATTAGAATTGATTTCTTCCACTAGATATATGTAAGATTACTTAATTACAATTGAAATTGCAACACATCAAATGTAATTTCATCGTATAATTACAAAAAAGAACATAGTCGATGATTTCACAAATATAGGACTTGTTCTGGTCTCTAAACATGTTTAGAGTAATTTTTTTTTTATTTGTTAATGTAGTTATATAATCCAATAGCAATTACTAGAATCTCATCTAAGTAGAAGAAAGTATACGTGCACCTTCTTTCCAATATATTTTGATAATAAACGAAATTTATATAACCAAAGAATAATAATAATAATAAAGGAAAGGCTTGGAATTATTCATCTGAAAAATAAGAAGTTAAATGGCTGAATTAATTAGAACGAAAATCTATATGGCTCAAGTCACAATTGAGCTTGTAAAATACCAATCCTAGGGAACTATAAATCCAAAAAATAATAAAAAAGGACCATAACAATGAATTCATCGGAAGCTTATTGGATACTTGGGCTGCTTATCAGGGGAGAAGAGGCCAAAATGGCGCTCAGTTTCTGCAGGACCCTTTTGATTTTCATCAAACATTGCAAACAGGTAAGTTTGTATGGGTTGTCCAGGCCTCTTTGGGGTTCCGTTCTGAACATGATTGATCGAATTCTGATAGTAAGTGCTTGCGTTTTCAATAGTTGCGGCGATGCCTCCATCCGACGGCCAGCCAGTCTCGGATACAA